TGACTTGTAAATAGTTGTTTAACATGGATGTCTAAGCCTTCACAATTCAATTGCTTGCATATATTAGCAGCTTTGTTTGTTGATACTTTTGTGGAGGTCACCAAGTTGACTGCAATTTTGCTTTTATGATGTTTTCTGCTTGGAGTTGTCTTATCTTCGTTTCTTTTCTGGCCACTTGAGTATCCCACTGTTCCTTTGCTTTCCACTTGAAGATGGTACAATCGCTTGTTTTCTGAAGATAACCATGTTCCATCCGCTTTAGTAATATCAAAAATTTCATTAAGGAGTTCGTAGGGTTCCCCGCTTGACACATTTGTACATAACATTATCAGTATTTTATCAAGCTTTGTTCATATAACTTATCAGATACTTGAGAAAAATTCAGTTTATTCTTCCACAATTTGGTGACTTCTTTAAAAATTTCCGCTATTTGTTCTTTTCTTCCTTAGATTTTTGGTCCAAGGAAATGGTAGCATCCAATAATTTGCTTTTGGAGAGGCATTCTGCACTCTTCTTCCAGTGAATATTTTTCCAAAAGGACCATTTTTCTTCTTTTATGAGAGTTTTCAAATTTTACCAGGTTATTGGTCCAGTCATCCTTGTTTTTCTGAATGCTACTATCACTAGGCTTGTACGGCACTATGTATTGCTTATGTAATAACTATAAAATTAGATGAGCAGCTATATATAGTCTAAAATGTTCTAGAATATTCCAGAATGTTCTAAATTGTTCTAGAATATTCCAAAATATTTTAAATTGTTCTAAAATGTTCTAAATTTTTCCAGAATGTTTTATATTGTTTTAAAATGTTCTAAAATATTCTGTTATTTTCCAAAATGTTCTAAAGTTCTAAACACTAATCTTCTTTCTAAAATCTAAACTTCTAATCTATACATGATTTGCAGGAAAGCCACACATATTAATAGTAGCAGTAATAAGATTAAATAAAAGAAGAAATGTAATTTAAATTGCGGGGTGATCTTTTTTTTTACAACTGAGAGAAATTGAAAATGTTTTTAATGTTTTCTAATAAAAGTTCATCGATTTATGACACAGGAAATAGCCAAGGCAAATTTTATGTTTTACCATTAATTATTTTACTAGAATATATTAAAAATAAATAAAAAATATATGTACGAAAAGTGAAAACTAAACTAGGTAAACAACGCAGAAGCGTTGGGAAAGACGCTTAGATAAAAAACTGTCTGGCAGCATCTACATGACGCTGCCAGACAGTTTTTTAAAAAGTCAAAAAGTAATAACTCTAATATATAAGTAAATGGTATAAAATAGTTATGTTTTTTAAAAAGTCAAAAAGTAATAACTCTAATATATATATATATATATATATATATATATATATATATATATATATATATATATATATATATATATATATATATATATATATATATATATATATATATATATATATATATATATAGGTGTAGCTAAAATTTGTAAAAATTATGTCATAATTGCAACTATATAATTAGTCAGTTAGCCTATATCAAAAAGACTTCTGATAATTATGTCATGTAGGCACTACCAGACAGTTTTTTATCTGAGCATCTTTAATTGAAGGGTTGAACAGCTTCTGCGTTGTTTACCTAGTTTAGTTTTCACTTTTTGTACACATATTTTTCATTTATTTTTAATGGATTCTAGTAAATAATTAATGGTAAAACATAAAATTTGCCTTGGTTATTCTGTTCATAAGTTAGACATGCAATGTCTAACTTACTTAACGAAGTGCACCAGCTAGAATGTAAGCCATATGACTTTGAACTCCATATGTAAGTTGTAAAGCTGCCTAAAGTTAGCTCTACATTTCTAAATTCTATTCTTAATAGGCATCAATCTAAAAGTATTGTTATTGTTGACAAAAAAAGCCCTTCATTTCTGATTCTTTTCTTTATATTTTTGATACTAATAGAATAACTGCAACTATTACGCCATTAACAATATAATAATATTGTGATATATTCAAAAGATATTTATTTTAAAATTTTATACTACTATATATATAAATATATATTAAAAAAAAAAGATTTAAACAGTCTCACCATTTATCCTCAGGAAGCTTATTTATTACATCTTTGCTTTTTATGATTATCAAGCACTCTTTTTGTAGCATACAGTAGCAAAATTTACACACATATTTAAATTTTTTTATTTAGTAGTTAACATTATTTAGTTTAAAACACCATTTAAAACATTTAATATTTTAGATGTCAAAGATTATGAAATGTACACAAAATAGAAAAAAAATATTATTTATTAAACATTTAAAACAAATAAAAAATAAGATGCTCTGAGAGAAAATTATAAAAACATTTGAACAAAAAAACGAATGTAAATATAAAAGATAATAATTTTTATTCAATCATAGCCAAGTATTTAAGGCTTAAATATTAACTTTAAACATCTCTCTCCAGAAGCTGAAAAAATGTTGCTAAAGCTGTCTTTGGAACCTGTCTTTTGAAAACCTGTATCTGGAATCATTTCTGTATAAATTGACATTAAGGTTAGGCCATCTAATCACCCTTTTTAACACTTTACTTCTTGAATAAGTTTTTAAAGCTAGAATTAAATCTTTAAAATCTGTTGAAACCAAGTCAACTTTTGTTCAAGAAATACTACATGAGGCTTTTAATTGATCTTTTCAAAGAGGCTTCCACAATCCAACTCTGCATAAAAAGAGGTTCAATGCAAAAATAGGAATGATAGATATCCAGATATTCCTGAAAGTAGATTTGCATATCTTAGTTAGTTTTCAGGTAACTTAATATGGCGGTTGAAATCTTATTTAATTAATAAGATCATTAATAAGATGGTCAAGTAGAGGTAAATGATAGAAAGCTTAAAATAATCAGATGATAAGAATTAGTTTTGTTTTCTTTTAATTAAAAGCCAGAGCTAATTCAAAAGCAATATTGAACCAGTTGTAGTGATATAAATCAATACTAAATTTAATTTCTTGAAGCGTGTTTTTTTAATTATCAATTTCAAGATTCCGAAATTTGAGATGTTGTGTTGCTAATCTTGGAGTCTAATTATATTCTAAAAAATTCAATTCATCAAATTTTTGTTAAAACTAAAATTACATTGAAAGAAAATTCCAACATCAACTATGAAGAGTCTTTTGCTTAAAAAAATGCCTAGACTTTTCTTTTTTTGAACCCAACAAGTGCAACAGACATTGATTAGTTTTGCTTTACCAACAGAAAGATAATTATTTAATCATGCCTGTTTTTTTTTGACTAAGAGCACATTTAAATAATTAAGGACAGTCAACAAACCTTAAGAAATCTTTACGAGTATTATAGTTATTGTCTATATAGCTTATAACCATAGACTACTGTTTAAGGTTGGCACATCAGATGCTTTATCAGCTAAAACTAAATAGTATTTGCTTTTATTGATTTCAGAAATAAGAATCTCTTCAAAAATAAAATAGGATAGTGTCACCTGTATAAATTCTAAAATTAGGAATTTTTAAAAATATTTCCTTCAACTATTTTTTGAGGACTCTCTTGTATTATAAAAGAGTATATATATTTTATTATAGTTGATTCTAATGACAATAGAATCAACTTATAAGATCCTTATTAATTGAAGGCTTTAATTAGAGCTTTAATAAAACTTCAATTTGAAGATTAAAGTTTTTTTTGAAAAAATAAAAATGTAATATTTTAATTATTTACATTTATAACAAAAAACAATAAGCATGGTTCATATAGCTCTGTGGCAAAACTATATATATATATATATATATATATATATATATATATATATATATATATATATATATATATATATATATATATATATATATATATATATATATATATATATATATATATATATATATATCTCCTAAAATGAACTTGGGGAGCTGTGCGAGCTGCTCCTCCTTTAAATCGGCACTTTTTTAGTTTTAATTTCTTTTTTGCAACAACCGTGCTTTTTAAAAAGCATTGCAGTATATTATGCAATTAATTTTTTTAAAATGACATTGTGTTTTTTATTTTAGTTATAACAATAATAATACTTTTGTAAAAAAAATTCTAACTTTGCGATAGGTCATAAGGAGGTCATAAACCTCATGAACTTGAATAAAACACAATAAAACTAATTATTCCTGATATACAAAATAGGTTAATGTAAGGAAAGCATCTAGTTGAAAAAATTACAACAACAAAGAATTAACAGCCACCTGCATCTTTAATAACACACAACATTTTACTTGTTGTAGTGGTAATAAATACTTCACTAATACAAACTTTTATTAAAAAATTCATTAGCTATGATCAGGGCTGTGGAGTCGTAGTTGCGGAGTCACGACATTTTAGTGGAGTTGCAGTTGCTAAACAAAATCACAACTTCGACTATAATAGTAAAACTTTACGGTTTTGCACATGCATGTTCAAAATATTCAATTAAGCTTATATTCATACTAAACCTCAAAGAACTTTTCATAAATCTGGCAAAAAAAATTTTTTTTAACTTATCTCGTAAATTTTTTTAAAAAATTCAAAGAACTTTTCAAAAATTTTGCTTTAGAGTCGGAGTCATACTCTGAAAATTTCAACGATTGGAGTCGGAGTTGGTACTTTTTTTTTACGACTCCACACCCCTGGCTATGATCAATTTGAGTGAAATAAACCTTACTGTTTAAATAATTACAGCAAAGGTAAATGGTATAAAATAGTTATGTTAACAAAAACTCTAATAATTATTAATTAGTTCCCTAATTGAATGCTACTTTTTTGTAGTTTTAATTATGTTTAGTCTTGTTTCCTATACCACCCTACCACCATACCACCCCAAACAAATGTAGTTCTACACTATTGTTAAGGTTTATGAAAAGAAATAGTGGCGGTTTATGCAAAGGTATTGTTTAAACAAAAAAATAAGTATTGATCAAAATAATCATAAAAGCTTTGGAAGAAGGTGTTGGTTTTTTTCGCTGTAAAAAATTTTTGTTTTATTTAAGGGTGCATTTCTTTTCTTCAAAAGTTTAAAGCTGTTTGGTGTTTTTTATACATTTGGAAACCTCGCATCTTTAGCAAGGTAAATGTTAATATTTCAGTTTTTAGAATTCATTGTGTAGTTTGTTAAATTTTTAGATATTTGTTTAACAATTTTATTTTGTTTGTTTAACAATTTTACACTTTAATCAAGTATTTGAATAAGATGATGCTGTAGTAGAATTAACAGATAATAACTTTTTTGTTTTGTTCAAGATTTATATATAAATGACTTTAGTACAAAAGTTATGAAGTTATTAGGGAAGAGAAGTTATATAAAAAAAGGAAAACTAATTTTGATGGAAACAATATTAAAGTGCAACAAGTTTAATAAAAAAAAAAATGAAGGAAAAAAAAATTGTAATTTTGAATTTTCAAATTTTAAACAATTATGTTGCAATTTTATTGCAACATAATCATTTAATTCTTTTAGAGGTCAGCATCAGGTCGCAAATAGTATTTAATACAAAGGTCTTACTCTGGCACTGGATACTGGTCATTTCGTAGGTAGTGTTTTTATTGACTTACAAAAACCGTTTGATACCGTTAATCATACCATTTTAATTTCTAAACTTGAACATTACGGAATCTGAGGAGTTTCTTGTAACTGGTTTCAAATCTTTCAAATTGAAAGCAGTTTGTTAGCATTAATTAAAAAAAAATAATATTTTAAATTATATCTTAATAATATAATTGTAAAATTAACTTTTGCTGGGAGGCAACCAGGTCCCAGATTTTTATAGGTTTGAAAATAATTTATTTACTTTAATAAAAATATCCAAGCACTTCCCCTTTCGTTAGAAGCTTACTTTTAAACAGTTTTTTAAACTGTTTAAAAGTAAGAAAGAAATGAACTGATGTGTAAGGCTCACCTTTCCCAACAAAAAAGGATTTTTTTTCTTGGACATAAGAAACAACAACTGTAATAGCTTCCTCATTGATTTATTTCATGCCTTTTTTATAGAGGTCACTTTTATTCAAGAGTTTTTTTTAACAATAAAACAATATAGGTAACAATATAATTAACAATAACAACTAAGTTACTAAATAGTTTTTAAATAATCATTCAGTTTTTGCAAAATTAACAAGTATTACATTCTTAAATGAATTCCAGCTTTTTATTTTTTTGAGTCAACCATCTCATCACACTTTTTATTTATTGTAATTTATTTATTTTTAGTATAATTATTTGTTTTCTAATTGAGACAAATTTTATTTTTAAAAAAATTCAATAATTTTCTTTCAATTCATTTTTTTAATTTTTTTTACTTTATTCATAACAAGTATAGCAAGATCATTAATTTAAAATTTTTTAAAACTTACTTAGTCGAAATTTTAGCAAGAGTATTAAGTTTTAAAATTTAATATTAATTTATTTTTACTTTTACGTAATACTGTTAATTTACATGTTTATGTCTGTTTTAATATTATTTAAGGTCAGAAAAATTAACACTGAAATTTAGTCCTAAATACATTTGGATTTGCACTTGTGGGGAAGAAGCAAGATTTGCACTTGAGGAGAAGAAACAATTTTAAAAAGATAGTGCTGCCTAGTCCTCTGACAGTGTTAAACACATTAAAATTACAATGCTAATGATGCAAATTAAACACATTAAATATTCAATTCATAAATTTATTATTTACTTACATATAGTTTAATTGCTACAATTATTGTCTAAAACTCTTATAAAGCAATACTTTTATAACCAATGAATCATTAACACTGTTGTAACAGTATGCAAAGAATTAAAGACAAAATTTTTGTTGACCTGTTGTCAGGTAAGTGCGACTCTCTTGTACTGGCCTGAAATTCATATATTGTTAAGAAAGTCAAGCCACTAAAGTGAGTCAAAGTTAACTTTTGAACTCGAATTTTCAACAAAGCTTTATGTTGATGATTGATATTTAAATTTTTAAATTATCTAAAGAATAAGCAGCTTAACTATTGCATTAGTATTTCACTAACCAATAGATAAGAGAATTGTAGAGTTGGAAAGTAATCAAGATACAAAAAAGAGTAATCAAAAGTACAAAAATGGTGTGTACAATAAAAACTATTTTCTGACTGGTCAACAAAAGTTTCTGCTTACTTTAAAAGTTTTTGACTAGGAGGAAAGTAGCTAAAGTAGTAGCGGTTTACGTCTGCCAATGATGAATATTTTTACTGAGACACCATCTCTAGCTTTACGCAATAAAAAGCTGCAAGGCAGAGGAGCATTTTAATTAATTAATAAGAGTCATCTTCTTGCCATTGCCTAAAAATTCAAGTTCTACAATGCAGTAGATTATGTGCCATGTTGTTTTGGGTTATGTGTTTCCAGTAGTAAGGTGATCATAATGATCCTTGACCTGAGCTCAATTATAAATTATAGAAAAAATATCTGAATTAAAGTATTAAATTTTTGTTTATTTTTGTTTCACTTTTTAGTACATGCTTTTTAATGGGTCCATTGAAACAACTTAAAA